CAGAGCATCAATGTAATTCCAACATGTCGGCCCCTGCCATCACAGTTTTTAAGGCTAAAGTCACCTGAATGAAATTTTCTGAACTATCGTTGACACTTACGAACGCTCAAAACATTTACATAAACTTCTTTGATATTTTTTGTGGCTACAAAGGCGTTGTTTCCCTTCTTGTATTCAAACAGCATTACATGCCAAATCTGTGACTCGTCGTGTTCTATCACTGTAAAGGATTAGAGTATACTAAACTTTACACATTATATAGGCTACACTAACGTGACGTTTAGACGCTTCGTTTAACTATCATACCTGATGTACGTTTTTTGGGGGAGTGGTCAATGAAAGTGTTCCAATTTGCGACATTAATTTCTTGACGACCTAATACTTATTTATCAATTAGAAAACAATGTTTTGTTTGGCAAATTTTAGGAACCACCATTTCAAGCAGTTGAAAGAGAACTCAGTGTTAAACCTACTGTTTTGTACGATTATGGTATTTACGTATATTTTTTATTAATCCAAAGTATTAGAACAAATATTAAAATATTTTGACAAGAATAGTTTTCTACTGCTTAGACTAGCAACGGCCAGTTGTTGCATTGTTTGTTTTATAAACAACGTTACATACCAATGTTCCCTCTAATTTTTTCAATCCATGTGCGGAATGAATTTTTTCATGTGCACCAGTATCAAGGCAATGTGCAGATGTGCGCTTTTCTTTGGGGAGGGGGTATTTTTAGAGCATCAACCCTATTGAATCATTAGGCTACTTTAGCTGGTTATTTGGGCTTTAGGCCTATCGACTGCCAGGGTCATTAAGGCCGTCAACGTGTTGAGACACCTCACCATTACTGAGGATATATGCGGCTGGAATAATTAAGTGCGTGACATTTGATTGGTTGTTGTACAACCGCGCAGATTAGAGGGAACACTGTTACATACATAAATTATTTTCTATGATATTTATTGGACTGTTCTTTAGATTTCAAAAAGAAAAAAAACAACATTATACATTTTAAAAGCAGGGTAGTTAAAATAATTGTTTATTTGTTTTAAGTAAAAAGCTACACAATGGGCTATCTGTGATGTGCTCACAGCGAGTATCAAACCCTTTTTGTAACGTTATAAGCCCTCAGACTTGCAACTAAACCACCAGACTATAAAGTTAAAATGACAAATGATTGATTGCCATATTATCAACCAAGATGATGGTTAGTTTGGGCCAGCTTATCTGTTCTTTTTGACCTAGATATTGGTCAAATTAAGGCGGTATCGTACAATCATCTTGGCAGATCACAGGGGAAACAATTGTTTAATTATTTTAACCAATCTGTTTCAAAAACACAAAATACCTTTTCTCTACATATTTAAAAATAATATGTATTACACGTTACTTTTCAATCATTGTATTTAAACATTAAACAAATTCCTAAACTCTTGAAATATTTTAGGCCATACCATAAATTACCATTCGGGCAGTATAATTGGTTAATGCTGCGATATTTTTGGCTACGCAAGTATAGTTGCCACCATGTTTCAGTTGAAGTTGTGGAAATGTCAAGAACGTAGAAAATTCGTCGATTGCTGATTCAATGATTCCGAGATGTGGAGGAATTGCTTTTCCATTTTTTAACCAAGAGATTCGGATGGGTGTATCTCCCTTGGTAACGGAACAAAGAATTCTAGATCGAGAACCGTCCTCTAACCCCGTTGGGATGGTAAACGGCTCAATATTAGGAGGAACTATAACAACAAAAAACAAATACAATATATATTTAACACATTCAGACTTTTTAATGAAATAAAAACTAATATTATTTACGCTTTTAATCAATTTGAGTAAATTTAGATAAAAAACAACAACTGATTTTTTAACCAATGATGTTTGGCGTGAAAAAAAATATCTATTTAGATTGTTTGTTTTGAAGTTAAGCACAAAGCTACACAATGGGCTATCTGTACTCTTCTCACGACGGGTATCGAAACCCAGTTTCTAGCGTTGTAAGTCCTCAGACACAACGCTGTGCCACTGGGGGCGTCCGTTTAGAAAGCTTTGTTTGTTTTTTGGAATTTCGCGCAAAGCTACACGAGGGCTATCTGCGCTAGCCGTCCCTAATTTAG